TGCCAGAATGAACAAATCAGACCTCCGAGGTCACGGACTGCTCCCTAGGAGGAGGAGCAAGCAGTAAGCCAGACCTGAGCAATCCCCGCCTGCTGGATGCTGAGGAGACCAAGGCAGTATGAGACAGTGCTGAGACAGGCTGGCCAAGGGAGGCCTGGAGTGGCTTCTGAACACAACATTCAGGTTGATGCAAATGCACTGTGGTCTCGAGCATACCTGGAGAGTAACAAGGGTGGAGCAAAGAGGGGTGAGGTCAAAGCTGGGGTCATACATCATGGAAGGTCTCCTAAGGGTCTTCTCTGTGGGGATGGGACCTCTGAGGGCTCTGACAGGTCCTTAAGCCAGGCTAAAAGATGTCGTACCAGCCAGGCGGGTGGTGTTGCACACCTTTAATCCCAATACTGGGGAGGAAGAGGCAGGGGGATTTCTGAGTTCGAGGCCAGCTTGTTCTAAAGAGTAAGTTCTAGGACAGCCAGGGCTACACAGAGAGACCCTGTCTTGAAAAGATGTTTTGCCACTGTATTGAGAGCGCAGAGAGAGGCTCAGTGGGGCACGCAGGGGACGAGAGATATCACAGTGGGCTCCTCTGGCAGGGTTTACTGAAGGATGGACTATGAGACAGGGTCCTCAGAGAAGCAGAACCAGCAGAGGTGTGGGTAGTGTGTAGAGGTTTATTACTAAGGCTTGGTTCTGCAACCAGCAAGCAGGGGGTCTTAGTTAGGGTTTTACTGCTGTGAACAGACACCGTGACCAAGGCAAGTCTCTTATAAAGGACAACATGTAATTGGGCCTGGCTTACAGCTTCAGAGGTTCAGTCCATTATCATCAAGGCAGGAACATGGCAGCATCCAGACAGGCATGGTGCAGGAGAAGCTGAGAGTTCTACATCTTCCTCTGAAGGCTGCTAGCAGAATACTGGCTTCCAAGCAACTAGGATGAGGGTCTTAAAGATCACACCCACAGTGACACACCTACTCCAGCAGGGCCACACCTACTCCAAGGGCACACCTACTTCAACAGGGCCACACCCACTCCAACAAAGCCACACCTACTCTAACAAGGCCACACCTACTCCAACAAGCGCCACACCCTACTCCAACGGGGTCACAACTCCTACTCCCAGGGCCAAGCATATACAAACTATCACACGCGGTGGGGGTGGGGGTGTCCAGGAATGCTTGGGTACAAGCTCCAGCTGATGCTAAAGTCAGGAGATCACAGTCCTCCTTAGGCAGCAGGTGGAGGAACGTGCTCACCCTTGAGAGCCCCATGTTCCATTCAGGCCCCAATGGCAACCATGAAACCCACCCACCTCAGAGATATCCACTTCTGGAGGCTAGATGAGTGATTGCAAGTTTCATCTAGAAATACCTTCAGACACTAAGAACAAGTGACCTACTGCCTGGAATCCTGGGGGCCAGTCATTCTGACATAGCATTAGCCATCTCACTGGACAATGGTGGCACACGCCTTTAGTCCCAGCATTCAGGAGGCAGAGGCAGGCAGGGCTCTTTGATTTCAAGACCAGCCTGGTCTACAGAATGAGTTCCAGGACACCCAGGGTGACACAGAGAAACCCTGTCTTGAAACAAAACAACCATCTCGTGGTTAGGAGACATTTTAGAGGTCTCAGAGGGGCTGGAGCGAACAGGAAGAGGGAAGGCCATGATGAGACAAGGTGGGGAAGTATATTGAGCTGGAAATGCTCTGAAGCTTCAGCCATGGGTGTTCAAGAAGCAGCTGGGCCTGGGAGCAGGGTCTAGCTCTGGAGAATGCAAAGCCATAGGAGCAGAGATGGGCTCTGATACAGGCAAAGTCCTCCAGGCAGCCAGGGAGGTACAGCCCATCAGTCAGGGCCAGCAGCAAACAAGGAGAGAGGTCCTGGGACTCAGTCTCAAGGAAGAGATAGGCAGAGCTTGCCTGGAGAGTATTATAGAGTCAGGCAGCAGAGACACTAGACTAAGTCTGAGAGACTAGTCTGCCTCTGTGAGAGGGAAGTCAGGCTTAGCAGAGCTGGTGCCGGGCTTCCCCAGGGAATCCCACGTAGTTCTGACTCCATGTACATACTGTGTAGACTCTGAGTGTCAGGTCCTGCAAGAAGGACCAGATGCTGAGCTGCTGACACGGGAGCCATTTACAAGCCTGAAGCCCAAGGGATCCCTGAGGGTGATGATGCTACCTGAGGCTTGTAATTAAAGCGGTACCCAAGGGCAGGTAGGAGGCCCATAAGACTGAAAACTGGTGGGACAGTGACGGTTTTTTACCAAGGAAGCGTAGCACGCAGAGTAGAGGAACCAAATGACTGAGGTGTCTCTAAGAAGGGAGAGTAAGATCTGTGCTCAGAGGGCAGAAATCCTGGGACCCCAAGGGTAAGCGCTGGCCATCATCCATCCCGCTAGGGTGAAGAGCTGGGAAGTGAGTAGAAGGGCATTGGTCTGGAGGAGGCCTCTGCTTAGCTAGCGTTAGGGACAACTGTCTACTATTACACACAAGAGCCGTGATAGGGTGGGGTAGAAAAGGGACAGGGAGCAAGTTTCACACAGGGACTCCCAGGAATTGTCCCAGGAAGTAGCAAGAAAGCTAAGCCTAAAGATGTGGGTACTAGTTGGTGGAGAGTCAGAAGGAAGAAGGGAGGTTCCAAGGCCAGAGCCTAGCCCTCTCTCTTTTAGTGGTTTCCAAGCACATGGGAGTGTGGGGACTCTGCCTCACATGTCACACATGGCTAGGCTCCCCCAGCACGTGCCAATTGCTCAGTTAGCATGAACTCGTACCCTGCATACCTCTAGAGACAGAGGCATGGTCCTACCTTAGAAGCTTCAGGCCGGCTAGTGGACAGTAGGAAGCCACACTGTCTACGGTACTGAAGACAGACAAGGACGCCACACTGGTACCCAAGCAGTCCCCTCAAGCTCGGGGGCTTTATAATATATGTGCATCAGACTTGTTCATAAAGCACATCAAAGACAGGGCTGGAGAGATGGCTCAGCGGTTAAGAGCACTGACTGCTCTTCCAGAGGTCCTGAGTTCAATTCCAAGCAACCACATGGTGACTCACAACCATCTGTAGTGGGATCTTATGCCCTCTTCTGGTGTGTCTGAAGACAGCTACAGTGTGCTCATGTACATAAATTAAATAAATAAATCTTTTAAAAAAACATATCAACGATAAAACCAAGACTCTCAAGGTGACGGCAGGGCTTTAGGGCAGCTCTGGGCTTCCTTGGCTGTCGGTGGGGCTCATCCCAGTGCTTCTGACCTTGAGCGCTGCTGTCTCTACTCCACAGGCCTTGTGGGTCTTCCCCCAGAAGCCCCACTCAAGAAGCCTTCTGCGGCCTCATCCCCGGAGGAGATAGGAGCTTAGTACTTGTCCTGGTGACGTTTGCTAAGGGCCATTTATGAGGTGCTCCTGATTTATCAACTTGCTAAGATCTTTTCTCTCCGGGGACTTTCAGAAGGATTAGGGGATTTCCCAGAGTTCCAGCAGTAACAGGCCAAGTGTCCTGTATCCTGTATCTTTCCAGTGTCTCATTGTGTAAGGAGACTGACTCTCAAGGCAGAACCAGGGTACTTGGAGATTTCACCTGACAACTTCTTCTTTTTTTTTTGGTTTTTCGAGACAGGGTTTCTCTGTGTAGCCCTGGCTGTCCTGGAACTCACTTGGTAGACCAGGTTGGCCTCGAACTTAGAAATCTGCCTGCCTCTGCCTCCCAAGTGCTGGGATTAAAGGCGTGCACCACCACCGCCTGGCTACCAGACAACTTCTAAAGGAACTAAGTATTCGGGAGTCATCTGGGGACCCTGGGTGTATCCAGAGTTAGCAGGGACTTCAAAGCTATGCAAATGTGTGATAATGCCTATTTACTGGGCCCTTATCCAGAAACCTCAGCTCCTTCAGGACACAGGCTCTTGCTAGCCTCTTCTCCCTAGTCCTGGTCCACCCCTGGACCCACAAGAGTATGGTCTTCTGTTGGTCTTTGGGGGACAGCCTCCACTGAGTGGTTAGTTGGCTCCAGAGGGAGAATAGGGTATGGTTTGTCCCTGTCTGTCTGTGTCCCACTCCCTCACCTATAAGGAGAAAGACCCCCCAGTCTGGCTCTCAGGCTCTTCTACTGTCTCTGTCCCCTCCTGAAAGCTGGAGCCTGAATGTCTTATGGCATCACTGGATAAATAGGTTGTCCTCATCCACACACAGGATGACTGAAGCCCTGGGAGGGAGCAATCCACATGCAATTACACAGCCAGACCAGGAGGTGGGCCAGACCGGGGCAGAGGCCCCTGTGTGCTCCTATTAGGCCCTTCCCTGGCGACTCACCTGGCCTTCCCTTCTGTCTTACCACCGGGGATGCCCTGCTTTCTGCTTCCAAAGAATCTTAAAGCCCCAGAGAGAGAAACCCTGCCTCCAGCTCACAGAGAGGCACCAGACCCTCCCACAATTTCGAAAGGCCTGTAGTTCTGCCAGAGAACATTCCAGTCTGAGTTTGCTGTTGTTTCTCCTTATGGTGTGGATGGAGAGAAATCAACCCTCCTCATTTTCCAGGGGCTCCCAGGGGATGGGCCTAACAGCGCTGGTTCATTCCTAGGTTGGGGAACTGGCTGTCTCAACTGGGAAGCACAGGTCATTTTTACTTCAGCAATGAGGGGAGTAGTAAAGGGGGGTCAGAAGATAGAAGAAAATATGTGACTCCAAATCCCAAGGCCACCTCAGGACACTGAGCTCAGCAGAACGAACCCAAGAGCGAGAACATACTTTGAGACCACAGCCCGGACTCCTCTTCTGCCTTCCTAACTCAGTTAGCCCAGAGTATAACTCGGTTAATGCCCCTGTGCCATGACCTCTGAAGTGGAGAGCTCAGGTTACTGGCTGTGGCCCCAAAAGCCTATCATTCTCCAGACTTTTGACCCAGAGACCCAGACCCCACCGGATGCTCTGCGTTATTGAAGACTTGCGTGCCTTTCGGAGACCAGCAACAGCTGACATATGTGACGCATTAGCCCTGTCTGCTCTCCTTGGCACACTCTGGAGCCCCGGGGAGTTTCCCTTTTAAAGAGGTGGCCCTTCAAAGCTGGAGGACTCAGGAGCAGGCTGTCTGTCTCTCCAGGTTTCAGCCGCAGGACTGAAGCCACATTCGCACCCCTGACCTGTGTGTGCTGGTGGTGAGTGTTGGGGTTCTGGGCAACATCAGTGGGTGGAGGCCAAGCGATAATGAAGGACAGAAAGCCCTTTCCACTTCTGGGTAGAAAACATCCTTCGAGCAGGGGAAACTTACAGATAGACCGTGAGCAGCATCTACCTGTGGAGAGTGATGTCTCGCAACACCCTGAAGGGAGAGGCTCTTCAAGTCAAGAGCGTTCAGATGATAAACATGGAGGGCAAGGCAGAAGAAAAGTATTACCTTGGGTTGCCCAGTCTGGTGTGGGGGAGGGGAAAGCTGAAAGCTGGACCATTTTTTAATGCAGCCAGGGCACACAAAGCTGGAGTGATAAGTGACAAAGATGACCCCGTGGGACAGAAAACTAGGAGCTATATGGAACTCGCAGGCAGGAGGAGGGAAGATATGAAGACATTACACCTGAGGATGGACTAGAGGTGATGGAAGGAAGAACTACTCTTCAGGTGGCCCGTGACATCATATGGCATGGCCCCTGAGGAGCTAGGCTTAGGAGACAGGGGTCAGGGTGGGGGCTTGTCTCTTGGTCCTGAAAGTCCAGCAGTCTGGGGGAACCTCTGTGCAGATGTCAGCCTGGTATACAGCTGGGAGACGGGCTGGTCTGCTGAGCCACCTATGACCCAGTGACATCCCCAGGGGGAAAGACATAGGGATAGACTAGACGCAGGTTACAAACTCCACATGCAGCTGGGCGGTGGTGGCACATGCCTTTAATCCCAGCACTTGGGAGGCAGAGGCAGGCAGATTTCTAAGTTCGAGGCCAGCCTGGTCTACCAAGTGAGTTCCAGGACAGCCATGGCTACACAGAGAAACTCTGTCTCGAAAACCAAAAAACTCCACATGCAGCCTCACTGGAAACGTCTTTGGGGGCCCTAGGTTTGAGAACCCACAAGTATTCATATGAATCTGAAGGTAGCATCGTAGGCCCCCAAGAGGGCAGAGAACTGGGTGTTACTCGAGTAGCTGGGTGCATCCACCCCTGCGCCACAGGTAAGTGTGGCAGAGGCCATCTGCAGAGTGTGTGGTCTGACAGATGGTAGGCTTATATAGGCTCATGTGTAGCTGTCTATAGTTGTCTAGTCATCTGAGTGTCTGTCTGCTTAATACAGATGGAAAAGTCCACACGTGTATTGAGAAGCACGTCCACACATTTGGAACCCTTCGTTTGGGTACCCCCAAGTGTTTCTGTCTGCGGTGATCTGTGTGAATGTGTGGACCTGGGCAGGTCTGCGTCTGCATGGATCCCTCTGTACGGAGAGTAACATACAGATATGGATATGTCTGTTCATACATGTCTACTGAAGATGGTGTTTATGAGGGAGTACATGTGTAACATGTAGATTTACAAGCACATGTGTGGAGTATGTTCATGTTTTTACTGTGTGGGGGTGTCACCCCCCACCCCCGTGTGTTCAGATGTTCCTGTGTTTGGACATGCTCTGTGACCTGTGCTTATGAAGGACAGGAGATGTTGATCTGGGGTCTCTGTGCTGCTGTGCAGTTGTCTCTGCTGCCCCATGGCTGGCTGTTGGCAGGATCAGGGTTAAGTTAGCCCATTTGGGTTTCCAGTTACAAGAGGCAGTTTCCTAAGGTCCTGTATCACAAGAGGGCTGGTATGAGGATCTGTGATAAGTTCCAGCTAGTGATTCATTCTGAGGTCTTGTGTGTCAGGACTTGGTAACTCCAGGCCCACTGAGGCACCCTGCTCGATGCAGCACAGTTTTAGGGGAGGTTGGGATGTGGTTTACTGATTGCTTTCCACTGCATTCTCTCTGACTCTGATTAGAACTGAAGAACACTGTTTAGGTAGCATGTGTTTATTTTTACTGTGTTCTTTCTGCTTTTGGCAAGTAAGCATATTTTTCTAATGAGTAACACCATCCTATACATAGAATAAAGGGAGACGGTTCAAAGCCAACTGTTAGTTTGAAAGCAATACTTGGGGTTGGAGTCTGGATCTCTTGAGAAGCAATCACCAAGGGAGGCAGAAAACAGTGTCTGAAACACACACACACACACACAGACAGACAGAGAGAGAGAGAGAGAGAGTGAGAGAGAGAGAGAGGGAATGATCAAATAAAAATGTAAAAAGAAAAAAAAGCTGGCCGACTCAATGAAGCCACCTGGCTTCTGGCCTGCCACTGCCGCTGTCTATACACCTAGGCTGTTAGCTGGCCCTCAGTGGGACCGTGTCAACATCTCACGGTGTCAAGTGCACTCCAAAGGGAGCCGTAGAGAGTGTTTGCAAAGGGACTGTAGGGAGACTCCCTAACCCTGCGGAGATGTCGCAGGTAGCTGGGGTTGGCGTTGGTTGACAGTGGGATTCTGGAAATGCCAAGGATGAGACTCAAGAGAGACAGATAGACACAGAGAATGAGACAGACAGAGAGAGACACAGAGGGAATCAGAGAGAACTATAACCTAGTCAAGGCAGGAGGAAACTACTAAGAGACATCCCTGAGACGGCAATCTTCCAGAACCAGGACAGTTTTTCTCAACGGTGTCTCTGGTTCGCTTAGAGAACCCTGCTGTTGGGGCAAGCTCCTTTTGTTGCCTGTCAGCCCTAGTTCGAGTCCCACACAGCCTCGCCCCCGCCCACTTTGCTGCTGCTCTAGCCTTAAACACCAGGTGGAGGAGCAACAGGGAGTGCTGATCATGGGATCCTGGCCGTGCTGTGGAAAGTCCAGAAACAGGAAAACAGAGGCCAGAGTCCATTCAGCGAACCAAAGGAAACAAAAGAAAATAGTGTTGCTACAGAGGGAAGTGGCTTCCGCAAGCAGAGCAGAATGCCAAGGGAAGAACAAGAAGCCAGTCTGGGGAAGCTGAATATATAATTTCTGAAATAAAACATGAAGACAAAGAGAAGAAGTCACCCAGGGACAGAGAAAAAGAAAACACGCACACCCTGAATGCATTCATGCATGCTTGCACACACACCTGAAAAGAAGCAGGGCATGGGGGTGTGAGCCTAGGTAGGAGTAAGTTCAAGGCCAGTCTAGGCCCCCTGAAAATGAAAAGTAGGGTGTGGGATGATAGTTTAGCAGTAAATACTTGCCACGTAGGCATGAGTACCTGAGTTTGATCCCTGACACGCGTGTAAAAAGCCGTATGGCAGAAGCAGAGACAGGCAGATCCCCGGAGCTCACTGGCCAGCCAACCTAGCCAAATCAGTAAATCCCAGGTTCCAAAGAGAGCTCCTGTCTCCCAAACCCTGTTCCTGAGAAACAACAGGAAGGTTGACCTCTAGCTTAGCGCGCACAAAGCTGGGTCCAACTCCACGCGTTCCAAAAAGAATGTAGCCTTGTACACGTACCCATGTGTACCTGCACATACAAGCACACACCCATCTACAGGTAGACACACCTACAAGATAACTGACGAGGGATGGGATGGGCAGAGGGGGCAAACAAGAACAAAGCGTCACATATGTATGTATGAAGATGTCCGTAAAATGGGGAGCCAGAGATGGACCTCAGTGGGCAGAGTCTTTTCCTAGCATGCACGATGTTCTAGGGCTCTATTCTCCCTTCCACGTATAACCAGGTGTGTCCCACACCAGGCAGCAGGAGGCCAGAAGATCAGAAGATGAGACTTGGCTTAAAAAAAAAAAAAAGGACTCAGCGTCAAATGTATCATTCACTGAGAAATCACAGGACGGTCACCAGGAGAAGGCTATACTCTCCGGAAAATAAAATAAAAAAAAATGCCGTCTGCAGAACTGGGATAATAAAATATTATGATTTTATTATTATTTATATTTCGGCTGACCCGACATTGTTCCTATCAACAGCTGAAGTGAGACAGACTTTGGAGCCTTCAAGTTTATGGGAAAATGGTTTACAGCCCAGAACTGCACATCCAGCAAACGGTTGAGCTGGCGTGGAAGCTGAGTAGACACAATACAGGCTTGCAAAAGCTTGGAAATGTGGTCCCTGCACACCCACTGCCGGAGGATGCTGTGAAGACTTGTCCTCATCAAGGCTAAGCCAAAAAGGAGGAACAGTTAAAGCACAGATAATAAGTGGAAGCCGGTTGGCTCTAAGCTGGCAGCCAGGGATCCTGGAGGAGGCGGAGCCAGAGGACGGCCCATGGGAGGGGGGAGGCTGCAGTGTCTGGAGCCTGAAACACCAAGAGACTGTGATAATGCCACCCCGTGGGAGAACCTGGGCCAATCAGAAGTTCAGAACAAACAGGTTTTATTTTTTTATTTTTATTTATTTTTATTTTTTTTGGTTTTTCGAGACAGGGTTTCTCTGTGCAGCCCTGGCTGTCCTGGAACTGACTTGGTAGACCAGGCTGGCCCTGAGCTCAGAAATCCGCCTGCCTCTACCTCCCAAGTGCTGGGATTAAAGGCGTGCACCACCACTGCCCGGTGTCAAACAGGTTTTAAAGACAAGGTTTTACTTTGCAGCCCAGGCTAGCCTCAAATGTACCACTCTCCTGCCTCAGCCTCCCAAGTACGGGATTACAGAAGTTATATGGATGAGCGAGACAATGTCTAGTTTGATGAAACCCCCTCCAAAGGGCTCAGTTCTGAATCCTCTGACTCAGTGGTTCTCAGCATGTGGGTCATGAGCCCTTTGTGGGTCAAATGACCCTTTCATGGGGGTCACATATCAGATATCCTATATGTCAGGTATGTTCATTATCCTTACGATTCACAACAGTAGCAAAATTATGAAGTTATGAAGTAGCAATGAAAATAATTTTATGGTTGGGGGGGGGTCACCACAACCCGAGGAATTGTATTTAAAGAATTGCAGTGTTAGGAAGGTTGACTTCCTACCAAAAAAAAAAAAAGCAACACAAGGACTTCTCAGTTTCACAGAGGATGAGGCCGAGAAATGTGAGTGGTTCATAAAACCCCGGCTTGACCTACCCACAGTAGATGAAGCAGGATTCGAACTGGAAGCTCCCAGGCTCACTATTTTGCTTTTGTGTTTTCTGCTTCAGAAGCAGAAACCGAACCCTCGCTTGATGCATTCTAGACAAACTCGGCAACACTGAGCGCCAATCCCCAGCTCCTTAGGGCTTTCAAACCACCGCAGAGCTGACAGGAGACATTTTAAAAGTCATTTTTTAACAATCCAAGCTGGATGTGGTGGTGTACTTACACAATCCCGGCACTTGGGTAAGAGCCCGAGAGTTCAAGGCCAAGCTGGGCAGTGGTGGGGCACACCTTTAATCCCAAGCACTTGGGAGGCAGAGGTAGGCAGATCCCTGAGTTCAAGGCCAGCCTGGTCTACAAAATAAAGTTCCAAGACTACACTGAGAAATCCTGTCCAAAAAAAAAAATTGCAAAATTGCAAACAAGCAAAATAAATACCACAAGAGAAAATATAAGAAGAGAGAACGGATGAACCCAGAGCATGCTGCTCCTTAAGGGGTGTTGTGAAGCCTGATTTAGGCGCTAAGGACTCTGGGAGGGGAAAAGGATTACATAAGACTGCTAAACAAGGAGAGAAAGTGCTACCAAAGGAGTAACAAAGAAATAATTGTTATTTCTAATTGAAGGGGTTGAGGAAGGATACTGATTTGAAAGCCGTAGTGAAAGCATCAGGCGTGGCGGCCATGCCTGTAAGCTCAGCTCTTGGGGGGCGTGGTGGGCATGCCTGTAAGCTCAGCTCTTGGTGTAGGGTAAGGTAGCAGGATAACTACAAGTTCCAGCCTGGGTTACAGTGTACCTCAGACAGTATCCTACCCCGAAGTGACAAGTTCTTTCCTGTTCTCCTTCCTCACCCAACGACCTTAAAGCACAGACACAGATCGCTTTGCAAACCCGGGGAATGTGGCAGCTGACGGAGTAGAATAGGAGGCCTCCATGGTCCTCTTGTCTGCAAAAACGGGTCACAGGGCTGAATGTGTACGGTCACCTGACCCAGATACCACAGAGGTACAAGGACAGTGTACCTCTTTTCTGGGACTCGGGATTCTCGGGGTCTCTTTGCCAGATACAGTGGGAGCAGAGATGATATATATGTGGTTCTTCTCGAATGGTGAGGTATGCTGACGGCTGCTACCTGACCCAGGCTCCCCAGCAAACAACGAAGTGCTCTCAGCAGGAGGGAAAGTCAGGCTCAGGCACCTGCCAAGGAAATGGAGCTGACTAAGACCTTTCTTCTCAGGGTCAGGAGGAAAGAGAGGCCTTGGTGCCTGGAGGTGGGTAGGCACCAGGAGGACCTTATTAGATGCTGTAATCCTGGCCTGTCAGAATTTAGGTACTTACAGTGAACTGGACCCCAAAGGGCAGGGTATCTTCATAAAGGTATCAAGCCTCCAGGGGCAGATATGCTGGCAAGCCAGATGACAAGCAAACCTCCTTGCACTGGCTCCTTCTGTCTCAGGGTCTAGAATCCCAGTTTCTTTCTAAACTTCTATCTAAGCCAACACAGCTACGCCCAGTACGGGGTCATCTATGCTACCTATCCTGAAAGGGAATGGAGTAGTTACTCATTGAACACTGGAAGCTGTAAACAGGACTCACAGTCTTAATTACCTGGACCAAAGGCCTCTGTCCTTTCTCCTGACAAGCACGGCAGCTTCATCCGGCCCTTAGACATTTTTTTTTTCCTGTGCACAGGCCAGCACGGAGGTGCCAGCTGTGGCAGCAGATCCCTAGAGACCTTGAAATGTTGCTCATCTGGTGGTTCTGGTCTCTGCTGGCCGTCTGTGCTTCGGATACATTCCGGGACCGGGCAGAAGCTATCATGAGAACCACGCCAGTCATTGACGGGTGAGTGACTTCTTACTGAAGTAAGAAGTGCCTTACTTCCCTTGATGCCTGCAAGGGTCAGGAGCTCCCACTCCTCTCTGTGGGGGCCTCCCTCCACCCCGTGCTGAACCACGGTTCTTGTCTTCTTCTGGCCTCAGTTTCTCAGAGGAGTGTCATAGGGCCTACACAGTTTCAGCAAGAGGGGGACGTAAGAGGGACAGGAAAGCAGGTAGTGTCCTGGCACCCAAATCCCAGGGCTCATGAGGCTCAGAGTTTGGTTGGGTCTGGGGGGCGGGGGCAGGGATTCTGAGGTTTCCCAACTTTCTAGTCATATGTCTGAGGGAGGGATCCAAGTCCCCTCCCCCATCCCAGCTTTACGTCAGGAAGTTCCTCTAGAGCATCCTTCTGGCTCTTCTCCATCTCGCGCCTAACAGAGCCTCTCATTTCTTCATGGAGGTCACACAGCATGTGGGGATGTGGTATATGTCCATCCCAAAGTATCCAATCCCTCTGAAGTCACTAGAATACTTGAAGACCTCTTGCCAGCTCCTTACCACCCAGTGGCCAGAGGATGATCACTCTACGGCTGGCTGTCACTTCCGCCTACCCTGCAGGCCAATTACTTGCCCACTGGGTCATTATGAACACCTCTAGTGAACCTCTCACTAGAACCCTTGATTTCTGAGGCAGACGGACTCTAGAAACACAGTTTGACCTGACAGAGATGGCTTTGCTTCTTCTGGAGACAGGAATCCCATTTTTCTTCCCATGGAGAGATGAGGGAAGAGGTAGGCAGAGTAGCTCCAAATACGGCAGGGGACTCCTGAGGTATTTAAGGCCCCTCTCAAGTGTTCCACCCCTTCCCAGCACCTACAACGGGGATGAGTTTCCTAGATAGGCTGTAAGTGTCCTCAGGCAAAAAGAGTAAAGTCCTTTTCCTGGAAGCTGCCTAGCCCTGCCACAGAGAGCTGCCTTGGCCAGCCCAAACCCATTCATGTATCCATTCAGTGTGTCTTGAGAAATCTCTGCCAAGTGCCAGGGTGGGTGGGGCCAGAGAGGGAGGACAATCAGTTCAGCCCATTCCCGGTCCTTCTTCTGGGAGTGACCGTTCACATTGCCAGAGGCTGAATCTTGTATCCCTTTGCTGAGCAATGGATTGAGCCCCAGCCTTAGGGAGGGGCACGTACCCTGAGCTTTCCAAGGGAGCTTCCTGAATTGACTGGCTTTGGAATAGCCTTTACTGGGAGTGGATGGGGTCAGGGTGAAGGAGAGCTGATGGGTGTTAGGTGACCTAGAACATGAATTTAACAGACCTGAGTCAATTATCACGTGATGCTGAGTGTCTTTGCTTCCATCTCTAATCCCAGCACTTGGGAGGCTGAGGTTAAAGGGTCACTGAAGACTTGAGGCCAGCCTGGATCTCATAATGACTCCATGTTCCATCTAGGTAATAGAAAGGTTCTGTTAAAAAAAAAAAATACAAG